AACTTATCAAGTGGGCTCAATTCCCATCTCTGAAACTCAAGCACCTATAAACACCTCAGAGAAGGGTCTACAAAGAAACCCCCAGGACTGAGGCCAGTGTTGGGGTGTGAATGCAGAAGCTGAAGGACCCCGGGGAGTCCCTTTCTCTCTGTGACATCACCCACTCGGGTGAAGCAGCCACTGAGTGCCTTCAACCAGCATCCTTTCAGCTATCAACATCAGCCGTGTGCGTAACAAACAGGGTGCTCTACCCACCCCCAAAAAAACAGATTTCTTATTTAGGAAAAAAGGTTTTAATTTGGTAACAAGTACCAGTTGTCAATTTTAAGAAAACTGATTTTGATTTAGAAATTAAATCAGAAATTATGTCTCATATTTACATCTTAATGAAGCTTTTAACTTTATTTCCTTTTTGTATAACCCCCGCAGCGAGGCAGGTGATGAACACCGAAGCCATGGGGTTAGAAGCACTGCAGTTGTTTTTCTGAGATTAGGTAAACTTATTTTCATGACTGGAAGGTAGTTTCCTTTAAACAAAGTAATTAAAATGGGATTTTCTAATTATGAAAGTACGCTAGTTTTTAAAAAGCAGTGTCGATTTCAAACTCTGACTCACACAACCCCCACAGGTTTTCAAGGCAGTAAATCTTACAGAAGCAGACTGTCTCATCTTTCTTCTACAGAGTGGCTGGTGGGTTCAAATCACTGGCCTTTTGGTTAACAGCCAAATGCCTTAACCACTGTACCACCAGAGTTCCTAAACTCCTCAGTAGGAAGGAATAAACATTTCTGTAAAGACTGAAAATGGCAAATCAACTTCTCTTCTCTCCTGAACAAATGCATGACTGGTCCAGATGGCCACCAAGGCCTGTGCGCCAGGACAGGAGCTGCAAGCAGAGTGCAGCGCCCCTGGTGGCCAAGGGCCGCTCTGCAAGGCTCAGCGGTCCCAGGGCAGCCACCAAAGCAGCTCACAGGGGACCCTGACATCATAGCAAGTTCTGACAGTCACCTACCTGGCATCCTCGGATAAGCCCTGGGCTTCAGAAAGCGGGCAAGCATGAGGGGCCACACAGCTCAGCTGCACTGAGTGGGCCTGAGTGCCCCTGGAGCACAGGGAGGGGGCAGAGCCGTCAGTGCCATGGCTCTGGCAAGTCACTGCGATTCCCACTGCAGGTCTGAGAACAGCCCAGTAGTGCACAGGACTAAGCCCACAGGCACCACGGCCTCTTCTAACCTGACCCCAGAGATAGAGGGTGTCTGGCTAACACTACCCACTGCTCTGACCAGGGACAAACAGAAGGTCTCAGTTAGAATGGAAGAAAAATGTAAAACAAAACTCAAATATATAAAAAGGCCCAGACCTACTGGACCAATAGAGGTAGGAGGACCTCCAGCACTATGGCCCTAAGATGCCCTTTGAACGGGGAATTGAAGCTACTTGTGCAGGTCACCTCCCATCATTTTTTTCTTTTTACGACAAATAGAACAGCCCCATAGGGTTTCCAAGGCTGTATGTCTATGGAAGCAGACTGCTCCATCTTTCTCCCATGAAGCAGTTGGTGGGTTTGAACTGCCGACCTTGTGGTTAGCAGATGAATACCTTAACCCCTGCACCACCAGAGCTCCTCAGATAACAGATCGGCTTATAAGATAAACAGTATCACCACGAATAATGTGTCCCTTGAGCAACGAACCACACGAGACCAAACGGTCAGCACCTCCCCACAAGCAAAGGCAAGGAGGTGAGCGGGGGCAGGGAAGCTGACCAACGGACACCAGACAAGCACAACACGGACACATGGGAAACCTGGAGCCAGTGGCACAATCTGCATAAAAACCGGGAAAGGAGAACCTAATCTGCTATGTAAACCTGCACCTAAAACGGCTGCAACGCAGTGGCTTCTGACTTGCGAGAAGCCGCGTCAGAGCAGAGCTGGGCTCCGCAGGCGGCCAGTGGCCGACTGACCAGACCAGGCCTTACTTCCAGGCACTTCTGGGTGACTTCGGGCCCAAGCCTTTTGCATGTTGACTGTGTGGCCCCAGATGGCCTTGTCACTGTTACACTGATGCTGGTTCCGACACGCATCATGGAACACAGTGGAAGTGGCCGTAGGGTTTCCTGGGCGGCGATCTTTACGGGAGCACATCCCCAGGACTTTTCTCCCGCTGAACAGCCAGTGGTTTGAACCAGACGCCTGTTAGGAACTGAGCATGGAAGCAACGCACCACTAGGGCGCCCTCAGTTAAAGGCGAGGCAGGCATGGGGGTCGAGGCAAGCCTGGGTCTGTGACTGTCAGTCGTATGGCAGTCGCGGTCTTGGCGAAACCACAGCTGGAAGCCTTCGGCCGAGACCTCAAGCAAGTTACCTCCCGTGTGCGAGCTACTATGCACCTCCCCAAGCTCCTCATCTGCAAGCGGGCGTTCTACCAGGTACTGTACCCTTCATCACTTTGTTTCCTTCCATTTTTGATTACAAAGCAAAGTCAGAGGGGGGTGGGCACCATTCCCAGCCCATCTCCCAGTAAGAACAAAAACTCACCAGTCTAAAAACAGAAGCAGGAGCAGCCAGCTGCACCGCATGGCAGCGGCCTTTCCTCAGGTACAAACACCGAGGTCGAGTCGTCACGCGCTCCTCCTGTCTGAGAGCACTTTCTAGAAGGGCACTCTTGACCATGTGAGCTTTGGTTTCTGAGAGCAACTGGCAACTAAGGGTGCAAGACAGCTTCCCCTCTCGGACCCCAGGGCAGTGCCAGCACTGCGCTCACGCTCTGCAGATCGAGTGTGTCCACTGCCCCAGCCGTCCCAGGTACCGTGACGCCAACGAGGTGCCCCAGCCTTTACAGATACTGTAACGCCAACAAGGTACAGTGGTAGCTGGGGACTCGGCATGGCCCCTCAACACACAAACACTTCTTAGACCCAAGGTGGCTCAGCTCCTTAAACTACACCCTCAGACAGCACTCACCCCTTCCTCCTCCTCAACATCCACCCACCTGAACCTCCAGGCAGCAGCCCCCGCAGGCTCCCACCATACGCATACACACACACCCAGGACACATGGTCAACTTTCCTTGTCAGCTGGGCCAGCTCTCAGTGCTGGGTACCTACTGTGTCTGGGACCCGTGGGTGGCAGAGAGGACTTCAAGGGGACAAGGTATCACCACAGGGCAGGCTTGATTAGAAACCTTTCACAAACTCTCTCGTTGGGAAATCTGATAGGTGGTGGCCTCCAAAGTATGACGTTCAGCTGGGCCCAGGGAATTGCCTACTGTATGGCCTAAGACATACGCAGAGCAGGGCTGGCTGTCAAGCAGTTTGCACAAGGAACATCTCACGACCTTCCCAATGTGAGACCCATAAAACACTAGGCTTCACTGTGTCACCAACCGGCTGGGAGTCCAAGGGACAGGCAACTCCCAGAACCTGACAGAAGAGGACGACAAACTCACAGAAGGCGCGGTGACAAGTCCTGGACAACTCTCAACACTGATCCTGACTCGAAGCCTGACATTCACAGGGTATCAATGACGTCTGTGCCACACAAGCTGACCAAAAGCCAGGCGAGGTCCTCCCAAGTCACGGACAGACCGCGGCATGGGGTAGCAGCCATGAGCCACGTGGAACGGGACTCTGCCAGGGTAGCCCAGTAACTCACCAGCACACACGCAGCCCATCTGCTCAGGTATGCCTTCTGTTTACCCGAAGGAAGCAGGGAGAGATGGGCACACATCAGATCTGCGACAGCAGAGACAGCTGAACCGAGGATGCGGTCATGCCAAGGGCTGTCTTGGTAGGAAATTCAAGAGATGGTGCTGAAAGACAGGGCAAAGCCCAGAACAGATGTGTATGGCCGGGATGGAGACTCTGGGAACTGTGGACATCTCACCCACCCCTCAGACCACTGGCTTCATGAAATGTCAGCCAAGACTCCATTTCCATAGTGCACTTTAAAGTTTCACTTATACGGTAATTTTCATTTTAAATGGAAAAAAAAAAAAGTTCTCCCAGATGCCCCAAGAGCCCCTCTAACAGCACAGGAAGGCAGCTCCGTGACGCAGCCTCCCGTGTGAACCAGCCCTCCCCTCCCTACACAGCCCAGGCTGGGGGCGGCCCTCTGCTGGAGCAGCACACTCCTGCCTCCACTTGTCACTGGCGTGGCATTCCTTTCCTCCCCACCTCCAGCCAATGTTACAGTGCCTTAACCCCCGGGACCAACAGTCCCAAAAGTGTGGAGAACAGACTCGGCCACCCTGCCTGGGGCACACGCCACAGACCCTGCAGACAAACACTCATGAGATGGTGCCGAGATTCACACTGACAATGCTCTCGAGATTGTCACAGGCCTCAGAGCATCCTCCACGCATCTGCAGGGCTACACCTTGTCACGGACGCTTAGGCTGACAACACGCTTCTGCGTCTCAACATCATGAGGAACACTTGGTGGGACGGACATTCCTCCCGAGTGTTTCCTGGGAGTGACCCCGACAGAGCTTTCAGAAGCAAGCCCACGACGATCTATGTCGCCTTCGCAATTTCATCAGCGCCAAGTTCAGGTGCAATCAAATCCCACTTCAGGTGAATTTTTCTAAAGCTGCCAGCAGACTTTGCGGCCAGTGAGGGGAGCCATTGGGCCAGAATATGAGCGCTCAGAACACAGAGTGGACGACAAACAGCATGGCTGTGCTCCGCGTTCTGGGCTCGGTCCATTTCTCAAACACTACAAGACGCTCCTAGGTTATAAAGAAACCAGAGACAAAGCCAGTTCATCCCAGTAATGAGTGTTTAACTCACTGTAAAGATATACTTTGGACACCATTATTCTCTGTTGAACTTGAAGGTTTATTGCATTCTATTTTTGGTGGAAAAACATGACATATATTTAGAACAACTTGTGAGGTACACAAGGCGACAGGAAGCATTTTCTACTCCTGGCCACTTCTGAGTGCTCGCTCATGGTCTGCTCCCAGGTCCAGGTATGCTCACAACCAGGTACACTTGGCTGGGCACCAAGCTCCATGTCTATTAATTTTCTCCTCTCAGTATAGATAGCAATTCACCATTTTCCTTCAGTTCCTAGAAAATAACAACAAATAATAACAACCTATGTTAGATAGGTATGTATTGTACACATCACATAAGAACACCTCAACTGCCACAGCATGACTCTGTACCTGAGAATCAAAATAAACACCTTCCTGTGTTGAAACGCCATCCAGCAACACTCACACTGAACCCTGTGCACAAAAGCAGAGTGAACAGCCAGGCTACAAACCCGAGGGCAAACGTCTCTAAAACCACAGCACGCCCACCATCAGCAAACACAGCAGCTGCACGGACACCAGGAAGCACCCAGACCGATGACAGCAACAAAGAGGAAAACGGCCTCAGTGACGGGAAACTCCACGGCGGAAGGAGGCAGCCTGACATGACGCCACCTCCACAGGCTGCACGCAGTACCTGCTGCCCCCTCAGGGGAGCAAGCCTACTTCACTCCTTCAACCCGACCCCGCAACACCTGTGTGCCTCAATCCTGGCCAGAGTCAGGACCTGAAACCATTAGAAAAAGGTGTGATAACAGAGACACGGCACCAAAGCGCTACCACGAGGGAACTGAAACGGCAGGGCAGGGTCTACACTTTGAGACCATTTCTCAAGTTTAAAATTTAATGTAAAGCCATCAAGTTTAAATTATGACAGGAAAGGACAAGTACAGTTTTCTAATTTAAAAGAAACATTGAATTGGATGTAGCGTTTAGGCTATCACTAAGCAGCACACTATTAACAGATAAAACCATTAAAACCTACATGCCCTCCTTCCTGGATGAATCCCAAACAGGCATGATTCTGCCATACAAAAGCCCCAACAGCCCACAGTGACGTCTCGGGACGGGGTGACGGGGCTCTTCCAACTGTTGTGCGTCCACATCTCCTCTCCTCCGGTCACGGGAAGGAGCTGAAGCAGCACCCTGGCCCACCACAAAGGGTTAAAGCCCAATAGCTGTCGTCCTCATCCCCACGGCCGACATGAACCAGCAGCAGCCAGCAGGCCGAGGGACAGCCCATGAGCCACAGCAGCCTGGCACAAGTGTGAACACTGCAGCAGTTACAAACTGAGCCCTTCTCACAGGTCACTAGTACAACCACTGCCCAGGGCACTGGACCCACCAAGTCCAGAGCTTTCATTCCTTCCACTGCTTGTTCAACAGAACAGGATGCCAGGCTCCTACAGGGATGAACGCTCGGAAACATGACCAATGCTCTCACTCAACTGACGGAAGACCACAAGTTGCACTCTGCAAGAAACAAACCACAAACAACATGGCCACCAAGCCACTGCCATTCCCACTCATCTCAGCAAACTAACCAACCTGACCACTGAGTGCTGTTTCTTATCATCTCAAGGAAAACTGTTAACAATCCACCATAGATTGCCAAGTGTGGCTATGCCAACAGGTGAAAAGAAAATGTCACCCCCCATCCTGTTACAGACCCAAAAACAAGCTACCCACACAACGCGTCTTTAGGATTAAATGAGATGTCTTGATTGTGTCTTCCTAAGTTAGCAAAAACAAAGGCACAGGACCGTGCGTACCAATCGGAGGCCTCAGTGCCAGGGCGCCCAGCCCACGGTGGCAGAGGCCAGGCTCTCAAGCCTCTGACTGTGATTCCAGGCTTCTCTCGCACCAAGCACCTCAGAGTCTGACTGCAGGGAGATGCTCAGTCAGAAGCAGCAGCAGAGCTTTCTGGCTTAAATGAAACTGTGAACGTCCCAAAGTGGGTCCTGGAGACCAGAGAACACAGATTCACACACAGGATACACACGAACCCCGAGACAGAGCACATAGGCGCAGAGCTGAGCAGTACGAAAATGTGGAAGAAGTTCTACAGGACTTAGTGCAATGGGGATAAAAAGAAAATTTCACGTGGATAATTTCTGGCCATAAGCTACATGCACTGAAATGCCAAAATCACAGAGTTGGGACTTTGGCTGGCAGTCTGGTGGGTTATGGTTCTGAAAAGGACCCAGGATGACAGCAGGACTCACAATAAAGGTGATTTGACATGTTCAGGCATCAGACAGAACACTCGTACATAGCAATGACTGTGAGAATGATACCATGGACATGAAATGGCAGTTAACGGTCTAGAGTAATTGGATGTGAGGTCACAGAAGAGGGGAGTCAAGGACAACCCCCACGTGTCCACTGACCATGGACTTACAGTTTTTAGACATGTCAAGGCTTCCCAGCTCTTTAACACACAGAACGAATTCCAGCCTTACCTTCACAATATCCAGCCCTCCAATGAGCTCTCCCTTCACATACAGCTGAGGGTACGTCGGCCAATTGGAGTATGATTTCAACCCTTGCCGCACCTGTGGAAACAACGTGAACCCTGAAGCCTTCATTTCAGACCCTAAAGATTAAGGTAAAACTAGGACAAAGCATAAAACAAGAGAACTTACTTCTTCATCCTCCAATATATCAAAGGTTTCGTATTCAACACTGTAAAAATGAGAAACATTTTAACAGGAAATAGAGTTTAACCGAAAATTGTAAAACCAATTTACTTTTTAAAAAAACAGTCCAGAGAAATAAATAAACCAACGTTCACTGCTAACAGAATTCACTGTAGAGAAACGGAAATCACTGGACTTCCTAATCTGGCAGGTCCTACTCAGAAGAAGTCAGACCAAGATGCAGGCGCACCTGCATCTTTCTCTAACTACAGTGGGCCAGACCAGGGCTCGTAACACTGCCTATCGGGCACAGTGAACGCTGTAGGCTTCCTACAGCCTCAGTCACAACCCCTCTACTGCAGTTACAAGGCAGCAGCCCTAGATGACAGCATGGGCGTGGCTGGGTTCCAAAAAAACTTTATTTACACCAATAGGTGGCCAGACTGCCCACCCCCAGGCTGGACCTGTCCTCAACACTGACAGAGCCTGCTGTTCACACATCACTCATGGTGCCACTATTTCCCATCCCATGGAAACTGCCCGAGGACAAGGCAGACACAACACGGCTGCCCATGGACTGGGACGGCATGAGCTGGCAGGAGCAGGCAACTCCTCTGCCAGGCAACTAGACCGCCATCCACCCCAGCCCACAGAGGTCTGCCCACCACACTCAAACAAACTTCCTCCAGGACACACACGTGGCTTTCAGTACACACAAGACCAATAGATTTTACGGCCCTCATGCTGCATGTGAACAAGGCTTGTATGAGCAGAGGATATCACAAAAAGACAAAGCAGACATACGACCCCATCTACTCCGAGGACCTCCCTATGAGGGGCTCGGGGATCAGCAGGAACTTATGACTGGGTCCCCACAGGGTGCAGGTCTAAGGTGGCCAAAGAGGCTACCCACACAGCCCACTAGCCTCTCCAGAACCTCACCAGACTGCCTCTGCAGGCAAGTCCACAGAAAGCGCCCACCGTGCCACGGGCAGTCAGTAACACAGGTGGCAGGAAACGTCACCGGCAAGAACCAAAAAGGAGCATTTGAAAGAAAAGCCAAAGAAACTGCAAGCAGGGGTAAAAAACACCCCCGCAATTTATGTTTTCCCTCCACGCTGGACCAGAGGAGCCAGGTCTCCTCCTGAGAACGCTAAGAAAGAGAGGATGCATTCCAAAACGATCTAGAAGGAAGCTAAGAACAAGTGGTTGGAGTGCACAGCCTTGGAGTTTAACAGCTAGTACACCTCCCAGGAGCTCCTGTACATGTGTGGGACTCCCTACACACTGCCCACTTTGGCCAGTGCAGGCCAGTGGGGGACCCTGGGATCCCAGCATATTCATGCTCAGGCGAGTTCAAGCACCCCCAGAGTCCCTGATGGTCCACGTCCAGAGAAGTGGTCTCCAGCAAGCCTACAGCTGGAGGCTGTAGCAGACACGGCAGCCTCCTGGCCCCAGCCCCAGCGGAGTGGCCGGGAAGAGGGAAGCGGGGGCAGGCTGGCGGCCAGAGTGAGGACCCGCGGCCCACGCTCCCCAGAAAATGGCACAACGCCTTGAAGACAGCAATCACCTGTCTGTCCCTGTCCCTAACGTTGTATTCACATGCAGGAGTCAAGTGACACTTCACTTTTAAGCCCACCCAAAAACATCGGCATTTGTCCATGCAGCTTCTGTAGCCTGTAACTCCAGAGGGCTGGCCAATCTCTTTAAGCTACGGCTAGAATACATGTTACAACTTTTTTAAAGAAGCAACCACGAAATAGAAACAAGGAAGACAAACACAAACATTTGACAAACCCTACAGAGCATGCACCAGTATCTCCCACTGCCTGGTGTTGTGTTTCACCACAAAAGCCAGTCTCAGTCTGGTAGCAGGCAGCTGTGCCTCAGAGCAGACCCAAGGGGCGACCCTGCGTGTCACTTACCCTCAGATCAGACCATGCAAAACATGCGAGCCCTACCAATTCCATGTGCTGTTCAGGAACTAAAGATACTCAATGGGAAATTAAAAACAACCCATGGCATGCTCCCTCACACTCTCACACAGGGCACACTCCCCTCCCCCCACACTCACGCTCCCCCACACTCTACGCAGGGCGAAGACACAAAGATTAACTCTGCTAGGAAAGGAGATGTCATGATTCCAAAGGCTGCCTATGAGTCTCCTTTCTCCTCTTCACCAGTGGGATGTGGTCAAAGGTTCTATTCTGGTATAAGTTAAAAGCCTTCACAGAACACTGTCATGAAACTAGACAGACAGATGTGTATAAGCAGACACAGACATAGCGACTGAAAAGCATCAAGGGCAGAAGTGAAAAGCTGGGGTCCATTAAACACCCCACAGACAAGACCTACGTACTCAGTACTGTTCAGTATTTCCAGAATCTGTTTGCTGAATCCACATTTTGCTTCCTATGTTAAAGAAAAAGAAAAGCAGTGTCACATTTCTTAAAGGAGTCAACTGAGACGCTCGTACCTAGTGTTCTGTCAAGTAAACACAAAAAATGCAGCCTGGCTGCCACCATGATTACTAAATGGAGCCCTGGTGGCACAGTGGTTAAGCACTCGACTGCTACCTGCAAGGTCGGCTGTTCCAACCCACCAGCCAGTCCACAGGCCAAGATGAAGCAGTCTGCTTCCCTAAAGATGACAGCCTTGGAGACCTTCTGGGGCAGTTCCCTTCTGTCCTCTAGGGGCATGATGACCAGAATTGACTACACAGCAGTCGGTTTGGTTTGGGCTTTGTTTCCATGAAGACTGACAACCTTGGAAACCCTGTGGGGCAGTTCCACTCTGTCCTCTAGGGGTGCCATGAGTTGCAATCGACTCCACGGTAGTGGGTGTGTGTTTTACAATTAGTAGAGTCCTGGTTCTTCTTCATGTTACTAAGCGACTGGATCACATCAGGGTTCGGGGGGTTCCCTACCCTATGCCTCCATCCTCCTGTGCTGACCCGACCACACATCATCCCAGACACATTAGCCACACACTTGTGTTTTTATCCACTTGAGCTGACATATGTTCCAGTAGCTTATGACCTTTGTGATCAAAAAGTCCCTCCAAGTCAAACCCAGATTTTCTCCTGAGATTCCAATTGACCCTCCCCCTTCACTCAAAATGGGGACCAGAACCCACTCCCTTTTGCAGTAATGGTGAGAATAATCCTCCCGTCCCAAGCTTGGCCTGGCCTCCCTGTTCTAGGAGTCCCAGACTCTTGAGGTGATGGGAATCCTATGCTTCCCTCCTTGCCAAAAAACCCCACATCTTACAGCCAAGATGTGGCACCACACAGACCCCTAAGAGCCCTAAGAGCCCTAAGAGCACTGCTTCCAAACTGTACAGAGTTCTGGGCTTCCAGAAAAACCTGAAAGTAAGAATCCACGTTAAATAATCAGCAAGAAAGATCAGCAGTCACTTTCTCGTCACTGGAAATTACTAACTCTCTCTGTTTTGTTGTAACAAATACAGGGAATCATCAGAAGGGTCTGGGGCCTGATTGAGACGTGCTGAACTGAGAGTAACCTTTTCCTTGTGGATACTTTCACATCATCACAACATCAATTCCATCTACATCCCACTTGCTCTCGCAGCCTGACTCTCAAGAGGACCCAGGGAGGTGCCGTGATGCCTATGTATAGACGGAGAAGAGCGCTCTGGGGTGGTATGCACTCACCTGGTGTGTCTCGGTGAGGAGGTGGGGCAGTGTGAACCTCACTGCAGCCTTGGTTTCCCCATCTCAACAATCAGGCACACTCCGTGTGGCCTTGCCTGCCTCAGCAAGTAGATGAGGACAAACCAACCGAGGTGTCTGAATTCCTCCCAGTGCTGCAGACACGATGCAGCAGTGCACTGCAGAAACCAACACTCTCACCCAGAGCCAAGTGAGCCCCCCGCCGGGGATGATTCACCAACCTTCACGTTCAAACTCACCCACGGTCAGGACTTTTCTCAGATGAGAGTGGCCAGACCTCTTGATTCACTCATCCCACAGGTATGTGCCCACCTGACAGGGCCAGTAAGGGTTCACCACCCCATGGCCAACACTTGTGGAGGCACAGAGCCCAGATCTGCCAGGTGCTCTGGACTCAGCAAGTCCAGTGACTAAGCTGCAGCTACCAAAATCAGAAAGTGACAACAGAACAGCAACTACAGAACCACTGAAGTGTTAACAGTGTTGACCAAGTTGGCTGACAAAGTCTGGCAGCAGAAAGAAATGCCCCCAACCGAGATAGCATGATGAAGTCAAGCAAAATGCAGATTCCTTTGTTTGAGCTCCATCAGCAGCAATTAAGGCCTGGATATCTTCCTGATACCCCCACAGCTTCACTAGCTGGAGCTAGTAAACACAGAATTAACTGTCCCCTTGTTGCAGATGGGAACATCCAAAGAAATTACCAAGCGAGCCGTTTTGGGGTTCTTTACCTGCCTGCTTCCCTTCATGAAGAGCATCACAGCAGCCTTGTTCGTCAGCACTTTGAGCCTAAAGAGAGGAAAGAGGTATCACGCGGCTCCGCTCAGTTCCTAAACGGGACTCCTGCTTCACTTCAGGAGTAGCAGGTGCATTTGAGGGCTGGCAGGACGACGGTTCAGGGCTTTGAGTGGCATTAAACAAGCAAATGCACTGCATTTCCTTTATTTCATTTTCCCCCTAAGCTGTTATAAAATACAACATGGCTCTTAAGGCAACAAATGCTCCATAAAGTGGCAATTTAAGCCCATCAACTCATAGTACTAAAAAAATAATAATAAACAAATAGTAACAGCCAATTCACTCAGGGGCCTATATGTGAAGCCCATGCAGAATTTTCAGAACTGGATCTCTATCTTTTCAATCCTACACCTTGCACAGCTCGACACGTACTGCTCCCAAGGTCAAAGGGTCACACCTGGAGAGAGAAAGCTGCAAAAATCCAATGAGCTTCCCTTCACGTTGGGTATTGTGCACAACCTGCAAACACTCTAACTCTCTTGTCAGGAACCGTAAGGAGCTGCAGTCAGCTGAGGCACACAACTCAGGGCGCCAGGGGCTCGCAAGCTGAGGGTGCGTCCTGGGGCCCAGGTGCTGTGGCCGTTCACAGTCGCCACCTCCACAGGGCAGGAGCGCTCAGAGGAATGCACCCCACGCACCAAGCTCTGTCACAAGCCCTTCCCGTGAAATACGAGCAGCCAGATTTCCGAAAACACCATGAAATACAGGGGTGCGTGCTGCTCCAGGTCACGCGCCCGGCATACCAGCTGTCTGGCTCTGAGAAACCGGAGGGCCATGCTGTACTGACCAAGGAGTGCCCAGGGTCTCCAGCTCCTGCCTCTGCTCACCTAGGAGCTCTCTAAACTATTCCTCAAAGCCCACTGCGTTTTACTTTCTAGAAGAGTCCAGCCAGTTGTCTTCAGGTGTCTGAGACCACAGGACACCTAGAGGCCTGAGGAGACAGGCAGAAAGTATAAGCGGCAGAGAGGCAGACAGTACTGACAGGGAAAAAAAAAAAAAAAACTGTAACAAGCTCACTACCGTCAAGTCAGTTTTGACTGTAGCGACCCCTCCTTTGGTTTCCAAGGCGGTATCTCCACGAAAGTAGATTGCTCAGTCTTCCTTCCCAGGAGTGGCTGATGGGTTTGAACCGCCAGCCTTCTGGTTAGCAGTCAAAAGCTCCTCCCGACAGGAAAACAAGACATGTAAAAAGTCCAGAGGCTTCCGAGGCCACTGGGTGTAGGGAGAGAGCAGCAGGACCCTGCCTCAGGGCACTGCCTCATCACAGTGAAGGCTGTGGCCAAGGCCACCGAGGTCAGCAAGAGGAGCGGGAACAGCCCTCCTCACACCCAGTGAGTGTGCACACCCTGTGAGAACACAAGGCCCTGAACAGGACACTCACGTACTGGGAGCATTCTTTCCCAGGATGGCTTCATGAACCATCCTCAGCTAAAGGAGTTCTTCACTATCCAACACCTCAGCAAAGTGGTGAGAGGAAGGTTTACCTTACAACCTCAAGTTCCAACTGCCAATGGCTAACATGCTGATGTACTTCAAAATAAATGCCTTTTTCAACCAAACATTCATATTAGCAATAAAACTCTAAGTACCTCTATGTCTCACCAAACTTCAAAGATTCTCGAAGACAACTTCTTAAAGCTGTGTTCAATCATTTCATCATTAAGAGACAGGTGTCACAGCTCCAACACTGCCATGAACACTGCCATGACTGTGAACCCGCAGTGCCCGCAGGCAGTCACTGCTACAGCACCTCAACACCAGGATCGTGGGGCCTGCTCCTCAATGCAGAGAGAACACGGGGCTCCAACTGTAGCAGCAGACTTCTCTAAATGTGAAGACTACCCTCCATATAGGAGCTCTGGTAGCATAGTGGCTAAAGCACTTGACTGCTAACCAGAAGGCTGGCGGTTCAAACCCACCAGCCACTCCTCGGAAGGAAGGTTGGGCAATCCTACTTCCGTAGTGATACTGCCTCGGAAACCCAAGGAGGGGTCGCTATGAGTCGGGGCCGACTCGACGGCACATAACAACAACAACAACAACAACCCTCCATATGCTCACTAAGCTGTGCGGAAATTTCTCCAGTCAAATCAGACACACACGTTTGTACAACCACTTTAAGTGCATCCAACAAAATTATGATCCTGCACACATAAAGACAAATTCCTGATTGCTATCCAATCACTGTGAGTCAGAACTGAGTGGGCAGTAACAGGTCTTGTTTGGGTTTTCACACAGGAGCGACAATGTGAAACTGAGAATTTATCATTTTTTTAAAGTATCAAATGGGACTTTTGCAACACTCACCTTTCCTCTAATTTGGGAGCTTTGGGGCAAATTGTGTCTAGTTCTTCAGATGCTTCCAGCTCCTGAAACACACACACACAGAAGTGTAAGGAAACAACCACAATTCCAAACACTCATCCATCACCTAAGCAGAGAGACTTGGTACAGATTCCAGGTTCTCGTTAGTAACTGCAAAGATCCATAGGAAACAGATCTTCCCAACTGAGTCTGGCGCTTACAAAAGTGGCATCTCTGCACAGGGACAGACTTCTCAGTTCTCACCTTAATTATGTCAAGCCCTCCAATGAGCTCTCCAGAAACATAGAGCTGAGGGTAGGTGGGCCAATTGGAATAGGTTTTGAGCTCCTGACGAACCTCTTCATCTGAGAATACATCGAAACTGCTAAATTGGATATTATGTTTGTTAAGAATTTCCACCATCTGTTTGCTGAAACCTGGAAACAGAAAAAGGAAATCAAGAACTTAGTTTCTCTGTCCTCACTCCCTCTCCTTCCTTTTCCCTCTGTCTCACACTCACACACACACACACACACACATGCACACACCGATTTTTAATTAATTCAGAGTGCAGACTGCCTAGTTGGACACAAGTATCTGCCTACTTTTACCTGTGATTTAATCAGCATATCTCAGCGCATATCTGAGTGATATGTCAAGAGATAAAACAAAGTCCACTCATCATTTCCCTGACCTAGACCCACCCTACTACATGTTTAGGTAAGACTTAGCTTTTTAACCCATCTGAGATTTCAAACAATGTGAGTATGTGTGTGTGTCAGGAACATTTTCTGTTGTGGAAAAACAATACTGACCAAAGAGTGGAGACATGAATGAAGCCGCGGTACCTGCTCCAACAGGGCATGACCAAGGAAGCCTTGGGCCACCTGCCTCATGTTCCTATACAGTCCCTCAGCCCTGTCTCCTGTGGGCGACACCAGTCACTTTTAACCACGACCTGGCCATACAGAAAGCTCAAACTCAGCTGCCCTTCCACCACCTGCTCTCTGGTAGTTGTCCATCTTTACCGTCTCTAAGTAGAATAAACTTGCAATCAAAAGGATGCATTCCCTTTTATTCTAAGGTGGCATGTACAGCATATTAAATTTTAAAACTATCTTCTCTGTCATTATATATGAACTGTCAACAGACTGACGGTATTCTTTCTCATCTTGGGTCATAACTTGACAGCTTCTTTTTTTAAACTATTTACATTCCCCAATGTATGTAATGTGATTTTTTTTCACTACACTATAGTGACAATTTTATGTTCCATGATTTTATTATACTTTTGTGACACATTTTTGTTCTGTACTTTTTTGACAATGTTTTCTTATGATGACATTAGTACTGAAGAGTAAGAGTGTGACTAATCGGTCTTTTATAAATCTACTGGTCTAAACTGAAAAAGGGATATTTTTGTCTTCATAAGCGAATTCTTCCCAATCGTTTTCCAATAATTTGTACCATCCCACTCAACACCCATCATTCTTCTTCTAAAACACAGTCCCAATTCCCTGGGAAACCCCCTATTCTTCAGATTCAACATCCTTTATGATTCAGCAGCATCTGCCATTATCTCTACATGAAATCACATCATAAAGTCCCAGTAAGATTAACTGCATGAGGATGCTGTGCCGAGCGTCACAGGGAGGAAGTTTCCCGTGGAAGCAAGGACCCACACCAGCCCCAGTTCTCCAGACCAGCGGCTAAGGAGCCAGGCACCATGTTGCCTTATATAGCCTCTAAGTCACTTTCCCCACTCTCACATGTTGAGTTCATGTACAGCCCCTGGTAAAACAGTGATGCTGAGACTCTTCCTTCTTCTGGGAGTTCATTAGTCCACAGCTAACGGCTGGCCAAGTGCTGATGGTCATTCTGTGGCCAAGGAATTAGCTCCTTTCAACTGGAACTGGCTGCAAAAAAGGCTTTCTTTCAGCTTTAGGCAACTACGTGCAGATGGGAAGGACTGACTAGGAAGGCCTCATTTTCAAGGGTCAAATGGCAGACGGGAAACATTATACTTAAGGGTAAACAGTAAAGACGCTTTATTCTAGTAACAAAATATATGATCATCTGAAAAAGAATACACCTATGCAGTAGAAATATTTAAAAGTAGAGAAACCATGTTTAATGGCCACCGAGCCACCGTTCCTATCAGCAGTCATCTCTAGTCATGACAGATGTAGATAAGAAGATGAACTGCCGAATGCAATCACGATGCAACAACAGCCCCTGAAGAGCGCTTCTGAGCCTGCTGGGCTTTGGTGTCTGCCCTCACAAGCAGACGCAACTAGACAGCACTCGCTGTAGCCTAGATCTCCAGACTATGGGGCAGACACATTTTACTTTGCTAAAAGCTGTGTTAACTGCAATAGTTACAAGAATTCCCAAAGAGCTTAATTAACCTGCATGCTAAAAAGTTAATATTCTGCTTAAAAAGACGTGTACCTTGCTGATTCCTGGAAATCCACCTCAAACATAACGGCCCTCCTTCCTGTCCCAGTGAGGAGGACAGAACAAGGGTAACCAAATTCCTGGCAGCTGAGAACACAAAGACCCAGGACAGGAAGACAGAGCTGAACAATAGGAGAGCCAGGCCAAGGCCAAACAGACCCTGGAATGGCTTTCAATGTCCCCCAGCACAAAATTTAGACACAACTCACCTGTGTTTTTCCAAAGAACAGGAAGCATGAGCGGGGACGTGGGGAAGCAAAACCCAAGCACAGTGATACTCCATGTAGAAGCCACAGTGAAGTAAGTGTGTGACCAGCAGTAGTGCTACCGAGTTCCTGAGAGCAGGGGCCACCATTATCATGAGTGAAGCCTTGCCTGCCCAAAATGGAACAAAACCATCCCCCTCCGGGGAGAGGGCAAACCACCCAGCAGTTCCTGCAGGAAGAGTTCACAGGTGAGACTCGGTTCCTGCAACAGGGCACATAGCTAAAGGGGACATGCAGTCAGAGCATATCAGTGAAGGCAATGGTAGGAGAGGCCCCGTTAACACAATGCCCAGTGTACCTTCATTAAGAATGCCAGCATCCTAACAGGATGACTCACGGCATCTGCTAGAAAGACAGGGTGTAACAGAGACCAAAGGATCAGAGAACAGAAAAGCCTATTAAAAAGGTCATTATAAAAATCATAAAGAATCAAACGAAGCCTTGTCAGAATGACTCAGGAACTAGTAAATCCTATCTATCTAAACATCTTTCCTAGAATTCTGATTATGCAACTTACTATCTAAACGTCTGTCACATCACACAGTCCACTGTTCTGAACTTCGCAAAGCTTCTTCTATGCCCTAGGTGCCACTGAAACAGTCAACAGTAACAAACACCTTTCAACCAGGGGAACAAGATGGGGAGAAAAATGACAACTTCTAAGTTTACCTCTAATCGACTTAAATAACCACCACTAGAATCAAAAAGGACATCCTAGAGTGGCCACCACCAAGGGAGGAAGAAGTAAAGGGACAAAGAAGGGAACTGACTGGGTCCCAGCTCCCCAACGGCCCATGTCCTCAAGGCATGCAGCACAGTGGCAGAGAAGGGACGGCAGCTCTCCTGTCCCGGCATGTAGTCTACGACGGTTTCCCATATGCCACTATCCTCTGGCGACACTTAGCCTCCCCTGAGCTCCCACCTACCTCCTGCTGACATCATCATGGCATCACACATAAAGACGAAGGGAATGCGACCAGTGGTCCCAAAGAAGTCTATTAGTTTTATTGCAGGTTTGCTAGGTATAACCAGTTACAGAGTCACCCACATCCCATAGCCAGTTTAACAATCAACCCTTCAGACTCTAAGGAAGGTGGTGAATAAATGCACTGGGTGATGAGACAGTCTGTGCTCCAAGCCCTTGTTGTGAGGCTCCTCTAATCGAAAAGTAAAGTACCAGAACGTCATCACCCCTCAACCACCTGCAAGCCCGGCAGAAACAACTGCACAGATGATGCAGCAGCCGTCTGCTGCTGCCTGCAGTTAACGCCAGCATGAGCAAGCCAGCGCTCCGGGAGGTAAAACAGCACTGTCTGATGCATATACACTGGCAAGAGTTTGTCAAGTAGAACTAGGAGACAAAGAATCATTTCTCCATCTGTTAAGACAGAATTCAACATGAAATTTTATCTTTAAAACCTAGACTTTTTCTTAATCTGTAACTTGATAACCATATAGGGGCGAATTCAAAATTAAATTTTCATTGGCAGCTTGGTTATTTTTGGAAAGCCACACTGGACACACAGTAATCATTTCAACAGCAGACTCAATTTCACTTCCACTGACTTTAATAAACTCTCTCCTCTAAAGTTGAAACAAATACTCCTAGATTCTCAACACCATCATCAAAAAGCATGAAATCGTCAGTTACATAGCTAATAATGTCGTATTAGGCATGTTGCCACTGATGTTAGGTGACACCAAGTCAGTTCCAACTCACAGTGATCTTAAGAACAATAAAACTAAACACTGCCCGCTCCTGCATCCCCCTCACATTGTCACCATAGTGGAGCCCAGCGTTGGAGCCACTGTGCTAGTTCATCTCATCGAGGGGCTTCCTCTTTTCTGCTGATCCTCTGCTTCACCAAGCTTTGTCCTTCTCCAGGCAACGGTCCCTCTTGATAAACTGTCCGGAGTATGTGAGACGAAGCGTCACCATCTTCATTTCCAAGGAGCATTCTGGCTGTACTTCTTTTTGTTTGTTTGTTCTTCTGGCAGTCCACGATATAATAAATATTCTTCACCAACACCATAATTCAAATGCATCAATGCTTCTTCCAGCTTCCTTATTCATTACACCTTTCACATGCATATGAAGTGAATGAAGATACCATGGCTTGGGTCAGGCCAACCTCAGTCCTCAAAGCTACACCGTTGCTTTTAACACTTCAAAGAGATCTTCTGCAATAGATGTGTCCAATGTAATACATCATCTGATTTCTTGACTGCTGCTTCCATGGGTGTTGATTGTGGATCCAAGTGAAATGAAATCCTTGACAACTTCAGTCTCTTCTCTGCTTATCATGATACTGCTTTACTGGTCCAGCTATAAGGAGTTTTGTTATCTGTGTGTGGAGGTATAATCCATACTGAAGACTGTAGTCTTTGACCATCCGTAAGTGCTTCACGAGTCTTCCTCCAATCCTATTGCCATGTACTTTTTCATATAGTCCAGTTTCTCGGATTATTTGCTCAGTACAGACTTAAGTATGGTGAAAGGATACACTCTTCCTGATTTTGAACCATGCGGTATCCCTTTGCTCTGTTTGGATGTCTGCCTCTTGGTCTATGTACAGGTTCCCATTCTTCGCAATGCTGTCCATAATTTGCTATGAGCCACCCAGTTGAATGCCTCTGCATAGCCAATGAAACAAAAGTAAACAGCTTTCCGGTATTCTTCGCTTTCAGCCAAGATCCATCTGACATCAGCAACATCTGACATCACTCTTTCCACGACCTCTTCTGAATTGAGCTTGAATTTCTGGCAGTTCCCTGTCTACGTAGTGTTGCAACTGTTCTTGAATTCTCTTCAACAAAATTTTACTTGTGTGTGATACTAATGATATTATTTGATAATTTCCACATTCTGATGGATCTCCTTTCTTTGGAATGGGCACAAATATGGATCTCTTCCAGTTAGTTAGCCAAGAAGCTGTCTTCCAAATTTATTGGCACAGACGAATGAGTGGCTCCAGCACTGCATCCCTTTGTTGAAACATCTCAGTACAATTCCATCAACTCCTGGAGCCTTGTTTTCGCCATTTCCTTCAGTGCAACTTGGATTTCTTCCTCCAATACCATCGGTTCCTGACCATATGCCAACTCTGAAATGGCTGAATGTCAATCATTTCCATTTTGGTATAGTGACTCCAGGTATTCCTTCTTTCTGTTTTTAACCATTGACTGTGATTGGGGTGAAATTTTACAGAGCAGATTAGTTCATGCACATTTTGTTTCATGACCTTTCCTCTTCTTTTGATGAATGCTGCATCTTTCAAATACTTTGCCCATAGAATCCTTCAATATTGCAACACAAGGCTTTAAGTTTTTCTTCAGTCCTTTCAGTTTGTATTCAGTAATAGTAAAAGAAAACAACATAAATCTTAAACCAGAGGTGTCAGATAATTCCAAGACTTACTTCAGGGCAAAATTACAAACACACGTGTATAGAAAATAAGAGTGACTACAAGCCACAGGATTAGGAATCTTTAAGTTACTATCAACTGTGCTCTGGAATAGGAGCCCCGGTGGCACAGTGTTTAAGCACTTGGCTGAGAACCAAAAGGCTGGCAGTTTGAACCCACCACTCACTCCACAAAAGCAAGATGTGGCAGTCAGTTTCAATCTTTTAAAGATTACAGCCTTGGAAACTCTGTGGGGCAGTTCTACTCTGTCCTTTAGGGGTGCTAGGAGTCAGAACCAACTCCACAGCAAGGAGTTTAGTTTAGGCTTTGCTTCCATAAAGAATGACGGACTTGGAAAACCCTGTGGGGTAGTTCTGCTCTGCCCTCTAGGAGTGCTGTGAGTCAGAATCAACTGGACAGCGGTGGGTGTGGTTTGGGCTTTGCTTCCATGAAGACTGACAGCCTTGGAAACCCTCTTGGGCAGTTCTACTCCATCCTCCAGGGTTTCTATGAACCGGAATCAACTGAACAGCAGTGGGTTTGGGTTTGGGTTTGGTTTGGGTACACTGGAGTGACAGCAGTGGGTGAAGAATACAGTCACTGGGACACTGACAGACATCAGGGAAGGCAGGAAACCAGGTGGACATAGGAACACGATCAAAATCCTGTGGATTTTTGCACTGTCGACTAGGTGAAAAGGAGAAGATATCTGTTACCGGCACAATTCACTGAACCAGGCAAAAAAACACATTAACAGAGACAGCAGCATGGGAGCTGGCACCAATTCCCAACTCTGCCACCTCGGGACCTGGGGCAAGTTGCTGGTACCTCCTAGGGTTCTGAACACTCGTGTACAAAACAAAGACCTTGCATCAGATGACCTCTATGCCCCTTTTGGTTCCAGCAGTCTCTGAATCAATAATGTGAACTAATTCTAATCATGAAATTGCATGATGCCATTGGGAAGGATGACCTCAGTGGCTTACTAAAGCTATCTGAACACTACATGAGGTGTGCAGTACATCTGTCTGCACTGTACATTCCCCCCTTTTTGTGTGACCTCAGTAGCAGCCTCTTACCACAGCGTGGCTCCTGGGGGGTTCCTTTCATGAACAACATGCAGGGGGCGGCGTTGATTAGCTTCTTCAGTCGGAGGTTGAGAGCTTCCTCCGGGGGCTCCTTGGTGCTGGGTGCAAAGGCACTGCTGGACGCATGTCGCTGAACTTTTTTGGTCAACTCGGGGGCGTGTGCACCATCTAATCGGTCAATCCTCTGAGAATTCTAAGGTTAAAAAAAGGACTTAGAACATGAGTGGCATTCGTCCATCAGCTCTTTATTTTAGGCTCCTCAGTTCTGGCCAGGTCTAAAGGAGTCAAGCTGCCATCGCCGAGGTGAAGGGACCATCACAGGCTGCCTGCAGTGCATGTGAATTTCAGAGGCAGCTGGTCACTCTTTCCTTTGTGCAGAACACATTGGGGAGATACTGCTGCATCTCAGACCAGACCAGAGTCTAACAACCTAACAAAAACACGTCCCCTCCCCAGAATGAGTCCACTGTTATGAAACACAGAGTAGGTGTTTGGGGAACTAGGCTAACACCCATGGGTGCCTTGAAGCACAGATTTGCACCCACTTCCTCAAAGAGCCCTCAGCAAATCCAAACTGGCCCAACGCTTCACTACATCCAGCACATGTTCAACAATCAATTTCTGTTCCAACTCAGGGAGCATTTGGGGTCTACTGTGGATGGGGGTTTTTATCAAGAAGCTCCAATGCTATGAGTTAGACTTCCAGCTGGGGCCACTTTCCAGACCCTGGCAGGCAACTGGTGTGGTCTTCCTCAGCATCAGCATGAGAAGCCAGACTGGCAGAGAGGAGCTGCCCTGGCAGGGCCAAAATCAAAACCCAAACTCACTGCCATCGAGTCAATTCTGACTCATAGTGACCCCCTCCGGGTTTCCGAGGCAGTAAATCTTTATGGAAGTAGATTGCCCAACTTTCCTTCTGCAGAGTGGCTGGTGAGTCTGAACCACCAGCCTTCTGGTTAGCTGTCAAATGCCTTAGGCACTATGCCACCAGGCACCCCCAAATGTCTCCTGTTTAGGAGCAGGGGCCAGGGCAAAGGAATTGCACAGAGAGTCCCGCTGCCTACTGCCTCTGGGTGACGGCGGTACCACCTTCCTCCTTACCTTGAAAAACAGAAAAGTGGGAACTGAGCTAATTTCATACTTTTCAGATACTTCAGGAACAGCTTCAGCTTCCAGCTGTAAAACAGAAGCATCGTTTGATTACAAAGGGTCCTCGTCTGCCGCTCTGATACGTCAATCCACCCACACACCCTCTCCTTTCAAGTAGCTCCTGTTCTTCAGAGGGTGGTACAAAGTCTGTGGCACATTTCCATTTAAGTGAGACTCCCTGGGCCAGCATGCCGCCCACTGAGTCTGCAGTGTCGGAACAGGTCAGAGGTTTTTATTTTGTTGCACATTTCAGAAGATGCCTGGAGGCTGTGAATAACATTTGGGGTGCGCTAGTGACCTCGTAAATTTTCAATCACATGCAGCCACTACCATATTGAAATCCATAAATCACTGACCCCAGTTATGTCCTGATTACGGCGCTTATTCTCCGCCCACAGCAATTCCTGCCGTCGGCTCTATTGACTAATTCCAAGAGGCAGTACATCACGACTGACAGCGCAGCCGTTCGCAAATGTGCAAGCCAGAGGAGCATTTCTGCAATAAGCTGCTGACATCTGACCACGTTTACCTTTAACTCCTGCCAGACTGCTGGACACTGAGCAGACCCTTGCTGGCTACCGGCTCCAGGGTCTAGTCCCACTTTAAACATATCTTCAAGAAGATGGCCATGTTGTCTGATCACGTGAGCTAAGGATGTGAAGCCCAGCTACTAACACCATTTCTAAGTAATCAGAACCCAACTTCTGTGAGCTCTTCATGTAGGACTTTATAAACAGTAAACTGAGAGAGAAATCAAGATAGATTCTATTTCTCCCTCACAGGACTGTCAATTTAATATAAACTTTCTGAAACCAATAAAGATCAGTATTCACATTATACCTGTAGGAAATAAAGTTACTGACAGATTATATTGCTGAAAGTTTTAAAGTACATACAGTGCATTGCTCCCAGAGTGAAAGGTTTCCAGTGGCCGTGAAGGGTTGTCCCTTTCACCCAGAGCCTCCCCAGCCTGAAGACAGCCATCTGTACGTGCCTCTGCTGCAGAGGGGAAGGGGAAGGCAAGACGCTCTTTGATTTAGATCTTCCATCTCATATATTCAAAGGAGCTCTGGTGGCGTAGTGCCTACAGGTGACTGCTAACCAGAAGGTTGGCAGTTCAAACCCACCAGCCACTCCGTGGAAGGAAGACTAGGCAATCTACTTCTGTGAAGATTTACCACCTCGGAAACCCAAAGGGGGTCACTATGAGTCAGAATCAACTCGATGGCATCAGGGTGCTCTTTTACTACCCACCCCCCTTGTACCACCCTTTGAAATATTTTCAACTATTTCCATTTAAAAATGTATTCATGTGAAAATCCTGTAAATTTTAAGTCAGCATCACTCAAATGTCCATAAAAATGGAAAACAAAGGCAGAAACGCAGAGCAACCCAAGACAGCTGTTTAGAACACACTCTCTGAGAAATGTCTGTGCTCTGTTCTCCACACAACTCCACCCTTACCCAAAGGTGGGCAGAAAGATGGTGAGCACACCTGCACTCCACCCCGGGTCATTCTTTTTCTTCCACCAACACCTACGAAGAGCCTGATGCACATGAGGCCTCATGCTGGGCTCAGTACCAAGCCATCTGTGACCCTACTGGATTCTAACGTAAAGTCCAAACACCCAGCAGGGCAACACTAAGTACAAATAAGGTAAGATGGCCCTAAACCAGAATGAAACAGGTTAGTGTCCTGACACGTCAAAACAAATTCTCATGAGCTTTACAATGTGATCTCTCCTCATGTTCCTGCCCACCAGCCCCCTGAATGACAGCTCTCCTGAGAAGCGAATGCTGTGCTGGTGGAGGGGCCCTCGAGTCGACTCTGACCCAGGGCAACCCCGTGTGACAGAGCAGGACTGCCTCACAGGGGTCATATCTTTACAGAAGCAGGTCTTTCTCCTGAGGAGCCGCTGAATGGGTTCAAACCACCAACCTTTCGGTTAGCAGCCGAGGATCTAACCATTGTACCACAGGGGCTTCTTGAGAAGTGCATGGCCCTCTGTAATTCCTGCTGGAGCCGGAAGGTCTGCAACCGCCTCCCTCGAATCAGCTCCCAGGTGAGAGCTTGGTAAGACAAAGGCAGGGGTGACAGACAGATGCTGCAGAGGAAGGGAAAGGCGTCCCACTGAACACAAAGCCGTTTTCAAGGGCCACACACAGGCCATGGCCACCCAAACGTGTTGGAAGGTTATTTCCCGCGTAACTTCTCTGGTTGGGCCCTGGCTGTTTCATTGCTTTGATCCAGATTTTTGTTCCTGTTACAGCTTTGAAAGTGAAGGGAGAAAAAAATCCTGCACTTCCAGATCAACCTGAGATGATCAGTTTTTCGCAGCTGATGACTGTCATTCCAAACTGTATTATTCCACCTTCCCAAGTGGCATTTTCCTCCAATCTGCTGTCTCCCCAAGGCTTAAGTTAGTTTAGGTTAAACAACTTCTAAACCCAAGAACTAAGGTTGGCACCATCTGAAGTCCTAAACCTTTGCAGCATTAAAACTCTCTGCAAATGCTTTGGTTGCACCTAACACAATAAACAGGTACAATAATAAAAACACAAAATAAACAAAAAATATCTAAAATTGATCTGTACTCAGAAGAGGACGAGGATGCTCAGAAAGAGCCGTGTGGCAGGCCCACTGTGTCACCACGGTGAGAAGTTCCTTATATAAAATTGCCTATACCACATGGATGAACCTTGCAGACATTATGTTGAGGGGAATCAAACCAAACCAAATCCATTGCCCTCAAGTCGATTCTGACTCAGAGAGCCCCAAGAGGACAGAGCATAACTGGCCCACACGGTTTCCAAGGCTGTCAATCATTACGGAAGCAGACTGCCTCATCTTTCTCCCCTGCGCGGCTGGTGGGTGCAAACCACCAGCCTTTTGATTAGCAACCCAATGCTTTAACCACTATGCCACCAGAGCTCCTTCTAAGTCAGCCACAAAAGGGCAAATCTTGCATGATCTCAATCACATAAGGTACCTAGAATAGGGAAGGGCATAGAGACCATCCCTAAGGTTGAACAGCATGATGAATGTAATTAACGTCACTGAACTGTACATGGGAAGGCTGCAGAAATGACCACATTGTTGCCTACACACTCAGCACAATGATTTTTTTTTGAATCTGCACATACCACCTTCAGCCAGAGAGGGACTCAGTGTTGTCATCACCTGACTTTTACAGGTAGTGGAAAAGAAGTAATTTGCCCAAACTCACACAAGTTCCTAACTGGCAGAGCTGCGAGTTCCTAACTGGCAGAGCTGCGACACGAACTTCTGTCTGTAACTGCAAAGCTGGCTGTTCACTATGCATGTTAGGGTTCCCACAAGAATCACAAAGAATAACTTAAGCAATAGGACTTAGACGTGACTTTAGGGCCAGCCTGCTGTGAACGTTTTCCAGAATGAAACCAGACAGAGGCCTCTGGTAGAACCCACATGCCACCTGGACCAGGAATCTCAAACAACAGAACCCTCCCACACTGTGTGCTGTGTCTGTGCAGAGGCAGGGTGGGGCTGCTACAGCAAGATGAACCCTGAGGCAGGGGATTCTCTGTGGAGTTTCCTCCAACTGAGCAAGAGTCCCCAAAGACCACTGTGATAACAGTGGCCAATGGCTATGACTTATTCTAAGCCAGACACTGTTCAGCATGCAACAAGGAGTACCCCACTTTACAGCAGAAACCGAGACGAGACTCAAAGAGGCTGGGTAGTGTGCCCATGGTCTCATAGTTGCTGAGTGATGATGGGTGAGGTGGTCTGGCTCCAGAGTCAAGTCCTTCTCTACAAGGCCATATAGACATTTCATCAAATCTGAGGGCTACTCCTGTTTCCTCATTCTCCTGTCCTTTCTGAATCCTGCAGGAAGGATGCCCACACCTACCTCCTCACACTTGGCCTTGCAGGTGTTCCTGCTGCCTACCTGATACGCTGCTCTGTCCTCTCTGGCCTCCTCTCTTCCACAGTCTTCTTCAGGAGCGTCCCATCCAGGCGCACAACTCCACACAGCACAGATACAGTGAAGACCTCCAAGCTCTTTCCAGCCCTGAGCACTCCCCGACAGCTAGGCTGTGTTCACAGTCTTCACTCGGATTTCTACTGAAGAGCTGCCTGCCCCCGACTTGTTTGATTGAGTTTTTATTTCCCCACTAAACCTGTTCCTCCCACAGCACCTCCATCTCATTAAACCTATCCAGTAGCTCAGGCTGAAAAGGAGACAACCCTGATGAACCCGTTCCCTCACCTCCCACCTCCAATCCATCAGCAGGTCTGCTGGGCTCTATCCAAAAGGTAGCCCACACGGACCACAGCACCACTTCCTGTGCAGGGCCTCTCTCGGGTGGCCTAGTGAAACAGCCTCCTGACTGGGGCACTTGCCTCTATTCTTGCACATGTACACATCCCTTTCTGCCATCCTCTACGCAGCAGCTACAGTCATCAACGTAAAACACATCCCGTCCATGCTAAACATCCCCCACGGCTCCCACTGCACTGGGACTAAACCCGAGCTTTTCACCACTGCCCACAGAGCTGCAAGGCCCTTACCCACATCTCTAGACTCATGCCACACCCTCCCTTCTTTACCACCCTCCAGCTCACCAGCCCTTCTGCCTTCTCCTCTGCCGTACCTGCTAATCTTCTGCCTAAAAGCTCTGTCTCCAACTCTCCAATGATTGATTTCCTTTTCGTTTTTCAGACCTCACCACATTACCGTATTTTTCACATATAATGTGCCCATGTAAATAACATGAATATACACATAACACACACAGCACACATGGGCAATATGTGCAAGGGAATTGCGAGGTTTATGAAAAGCATACAACATGCATTACTTCGTAAAAATACGGCATATCTTCCAGCTGTCCTAGAGCCTCCCCACTCCCACCCCACATCCATTCTGCACATCTGCCCCTTTCTTTCTCCTGTAGAACTGACTACTCTCTTTAGTTAGCGTGGTAGGGCCCTGCTGTACTCATTCATCACCTGCGGCCCTTGTAGTCCTGAGCATACAGTCAATGTCCCAGAAGTCAATTCTGACAGACTATTAAATGAACCTGTAATTATTCCAAGCCAGAAATGGGAATGGTCCCTTGCCAGTGGTGGTTCTGAGGCTCCAAGGCCAACGAGCATTCAAGAACACTGTATTAGACCCCAGAAAGGGGCTTCTCTCTAGGGATATGTGATGTAAATGGGACATTCTCTAAGACAAATTCCTTCTTGGTCAGGTAACCAAAAATCAGATCCAAACGTATTTTTCAATGCAGATATTGTGTAACTTTGCTTAAACTCTGTGTCAAACTCAGCTCACCACCACCAGCAGCTGCCATGGCATCGACCGACGCACGGCAACCTCATGTGGCAGAGCAGATGTGTGCTCCGTAAGGTTTCCAAAAGGGGACTTCCTTCAAAGGCACCTCTGGGTGGACTCTAACCTCTAACCTGCTGGTTAACAGATTAATGTGTTAACTACCTGTACCATCCATGGACTACAGGGGAAAAAAAAAAAACACTCACTGCCAATTCCAACTCATCACAACACTGTAGGACAGAATCGAACTGCCCTACAGGGTTTCCAAGGCTGTGATCTTAACAGAAGCAGACTGCCACATCTTTCTCCTACAGAGTGGCTGCCAAAAACCAAACCAAACGCACTGCCATCGAGTCGGATCCGACTCATAGTGACCCCTCCTTGGGTTTCCAAGGCGATATCACTACAGAAGTAGATTGCCCCATCTTCCTTCCAAGGAGTGGCTGGTAGGTTTAAACCGCCAGCCTTCTGGTTAGTAGTCAGATGCCTTAGGCACTACACCACCAGAGGCTGGTGGGTTCAAAGGCCAACCTTTTGGTTAACTGCTGAGCGCTTAACCACTGCACCACTATGGTTCCTAGGGACTCCAGAAAATATGTTAACTGTGTTTTGGTTTTCTTTTTCATTACCAAGACAATGCAGATGAAAGTTACGGTATTTTTAAGATGTAGTAATTCTGCTGAAATTACTTGGAAGACGTTTTCAGAGTTTCTAAAAAGTGGAATCCTACATGAGCTCTCTAAGATGCCAAATAAACTGGGCCATGATCTGACTGAGAAACACTAACTCGACTCAAGTCAGCTGCTGCATAGTTACACAGCTGGTCAGCAGGCAGCAGCCACAAGGCTGGCTGGGACTTTTGGAGACTGCACTATGGTTTCTTTACGCATACTAGATGCATACATGTTTAGAAACAAAGACAGTGCAAGCTACACCTGTCTCTGGACTGTACAGACCTTTAGTGTAAACGGTGCCTCTTAAGATGGGTTTCACACTTACCCTCAACAACCAGGTGGCTGCTAAGTCTGAAGTGTACTCTAGAGCAGAATGAGGACACCAACCTAGTACGATCAGGGTACGAAGCTGGACGTAAAGTGGGGGAGGCTTGCACGGGGGACCCACAGAGGATCAATTTGCCTTGCACCTAGAATACAGCCAGCTCCCAACTTTCTCATCATCCCAGGAGCCCTGTCCTATTCTTCCTCCTTCCATTTCCATTAGGCACCATACCTCAAAAGATTCTAACAATTTATTAAAGATAAGTAGGTATTCCCACTTTAGTTAAAGACATGGAGAGCCTGGGGTCCACATGATTTAAAGTGACTTCGTGTAATTTCAAAGCAAAGGCTTGACATCGTCACTGGCCATTTAATTTTATTCTAAATAAATGTAAGGCAGCCCTAGAAATAACTCATCTCTGCCAGCACAGTGCCTAATGTATGTGACTGCTAACCAGAAGGTTGGTGGTTCAAACCCACCAGCCACCCTACAGACACAAGACTGGGCAATCTACTTCCATAAAGATTTATTGCCTCGGAAACCCAACAGGGGTTGTTACTATGAGTCAGAATCAACTCCATGGAATTGGGTTTGTTTTTTTTTTTTTCAGTTTGTCCTCTCCAAGCCCTTAGGGTTTGGGACAACAGCCTCTCCAAGCCCTTAAGGGTTGGGACCACAGCTTCTCCAGGCCCTTAGGGGTTGGGACCACAGCCTCTCCAATCCCAGAGGTTGGGACCCACAGCCACAAGATTGACAAGACTGGCAGCTGTCTCAGGTGAGTGGGACACCATGTATCGTAAGCCTGGCACCCTGTATGACCACACAATAAAAAGCACAGAGAATGAGGGCCTTCTGATGAAAGCCTGTCTTTCAGCAATCTATTCCACAGGCATAAACTAACTACTGTGACAAAAAATGGTGCAGCCAACTTTTCTAAGGTGTCATTATATTGTCCCCTACAACATAAGAAATAGTTACGGTCACAAAACTTTACAATCTAATCAGTGAAAATACCCTTTTGAAGAACACTTATTTCAATGACTTTGTAAATCTGTCATAAAAATGGTCTAATCCCTATAGTTCACAAGTCAAAAATGCTGAACTATCACAGTCATGGAAAAAAGAAGACTACAAAATCAAATGAAAAGATGCCAGCAAAGGCAGAAGACCATCAGTGCCATGTTCTAGCAACTTCCAAAAGCTCTCAGCAACAAAAGAAAACAGCTTGAAAAGGACCCGCCTGCCTCTCTCACAGGGAAGCACCAGCGATCCCTTGACTATTTTATGTCTCACTTTCTCCGACTGTGTGGGAATCGTGGCCTTCTAAATTACCTCCCTCACAAAGTCGATGAGAACAGTAGTCTCTCCTGGATAAGGCTGCTGAGAGAGCCACTACGCCAGAGTGACCTGCAAGGAGGAACAGCTCCTGCAAGAATGACCGAGCCACCACTGTCAACTCTCACAGGGACAGAGACGTGGCTGCGCTCAGCTATCTGCCACGTGGACATGGGCTCCCAGCCTTGGCTTGCAAAGACACTTACACACCTAATCAACCTAAAATGTCAAATATGGCAGCAGGGTGAGAAGTAACTTTATAGCTACTTTAATAAACCATGCCAATGGCAGGTGACAGCAATGTGTCACCTAAGCCAGTAACATTACACAAATAACAACACCTCCGAACAATTACCATGATCTTGATCAATCGTATGACTGAAGCGTTTAATCATTCATTTCACTGGTAATCATTACCTTTTATCACTGACCAGACATGCAGTTTTAATGTTCTCTTCCATTATTTATACTAGACATTTCAGGGTTACCCTCTCAGATTATACCACACATTTCATTAGAATTTGAAATTAGTCCTTACATTTTACAAAGCTGTGAATTCTTATTTGCCCTCGTTGCACAAAGCAGCACCAAGAGGAGCCACACAAATTACTACAAGTGGTTACTTATGGGCATGGGGCAACAGGCTGACAAGGGAGGGAGTGGCCATGAGACCTGTCAGTGTCAACTTGTTCACACTGCTTTGATTCCGGAACCATCCGCATGCAACACCTAGTCAAAACAAACAAACATTATCTATGCAAAAATAATGTGAAAACTATTTCACCTGCTGTATAAATGGGTGAGCCCATCAGAGTCGTACGTTTTCAGCTTACATAAAAAGTGGCACACTGACAAATCCAAGCTTGTCATTTGTGAAGCCTCAGTTCTGGGCATGCTTGCCAGCATGTATGGATTCTGAACTCACAAATGCTGGTTTTCAAGAAAATAAGGCTTTGGTTTGGTGGGTTTCTGTTTGTTTTTCTTCAATCCTGAAGACTCAGGCTTTTAAATCCAGGGTGTGCCTCACCTACCCAATAATTCATTTCTAAGATTCTCAAATCACACTTGGGCCTTGTTGCCTACACCAGTTAAGCCCAGGATGACAACCCCTAACTGTGCTCTATGGAGTGTGCCGGCCCGTGGCACAGCGCTCACTTTCCTAGAAGCTTAGCCACTCAAGAGAGACAGATTAAGTCCAGAGCAAAAGCGAAGGAGGCAGAGAAGAGCCAGCGGCTGCCTGCTCTCCTGAACAGGTGAGAGAGACTTCGTCTCTCCCTCGTTCTGCACTTACCTGACCCCAGGAAGCGACTCCTTCCCAGCCCTGGCCCCTGGCCACCTGTACATACCCTTTCTTGAATGGTGTCTGTGTCTGGCCTCACTTTTCAATGAAATCAGCCTTGTTAATGTTCTAACCACATTAAACCGATACCTCCAGGGAACTCCGCACAGTCCGTGTCTGCTCACATTTCCCAGCTGCAGGTGATGCTCACCAGCAACATCCCCCCACCAAGGAAGCACGAGAGATCACGTGGTGATTTCTACACTACTCCGTCCTTGAGTTCTCAAGGCAAGGCTATTTTAAGATTTGTAAGAATAATCAACTATAAAAATAACAGATCCCAACACCCAACTCCACATTGCTTCACACAGTCTCATCCAAGCCATAAATCATAATCAAGTGCCCAGTGGCTATGACCCAAAAGGCAGTACCTTCACAAAGGAGACCTGGGGGTGCTCTTTGGCCAACTCTGCCATCACCTCGTTCATCGGGGCGCACTGCGGGGCCCATGGCGCCCAGAAATGCACCACGAGGAGGGACCTGCAACCAAGGAGACACATGTTAAACCACCCTGTCTGTAGGAATAAGCCAAGACTGCACGGATTACATTCTGCTACCAAAAGTAGTCTCTACAAGAACTGTCTGCGACAGTATCAGCGAATTAAACACAGACCGAAACATAAGGACCATCTGTACAGTCTGGGACATCTTTTGCATAAATTTTCAGCCAGATGATACTTCCTGAACCAAGATTTACCCCATATGAAGTGGTCTGGAACATTCATCCATCTCAACTAACAAGCATGGAAATGAACTGACCCTTCCAATCCTGGGGAAAGGTGGACGCTGGTCTGCAGAGACACAAAGTCTGTGAAACACAGTGTCTAAACATTACTGCTGATGCTAGTATTTACTTGTAAACTCCCATTAGGATGAAAAGGCTTAATTGTGGCCAAAGGAGAAGAAAGAAAGCATTAAAGATGAAGGTCCAGCAGAAAACAAGGAAAAAAATGGAACTACTTTTCCACAGACATCCTTAGAAACTTTAATACTATACTCCAAACCTACTGCCATTAAGTCAATTCCGACTCACAGTGCCCTTAGAGGATGGAGCAGAACTGCCCCACAGGGTTTCCAAGGCTGTAAATCTTTACGGAAGCAGACTGCCTCATCTTTCTGTACTGGTGGCTGGTGGGTTCAAACTGCTGACCTTTAAGTTAGCAGCCAAGTGCTTTAACCACTACACCACCACGGCTTCTGCTTCAAAAGACTTTTTAAAAATTGATAGTAGGCACAGATAGAATAGGGGGCTAATAAACAGTTGATTAAATTCTCAGCAATCTCAGGGTCCATCTAAACTATTTTCATATAAATTTCTCTGGCAGAGGTATCTGATGGCCAGCCTCATATCCAACTGAAAAGTCCTTCACTTTTACAAAATTTTAAGTTCAAATGCAACCTTCCCCCTCTCTCCCCCAAAAAATCAAAAATAAAGCATGCAAAAAAAAAAACCACATACTCACACCCACACATTCTATTACATGGACGGAGGAACCAAGAACAATCAACCTGCAGGCAAGGAAAGGAATTACAAACTGTAAAGGAGTTACAAACCGTAAAATAATACAGGTGAGTCGTAAGTGTCTACAGCTAATGGTCAAGAATGCGGAACTGAAGAAAGGCATTAGAGGGATTTAAAAGGTAGAATGGGCAGGACCCAGTGACAAGTGAGGCAGAAGTCTAGGGCTGAGTCCCAAGTGTGTCTGGCTTAGTGACTGATGGTGACACTAGCCAAGCACAGTATACAAGCTGTCAATCTAAAAGCACTGATCTACGGGTGGATAGACAGGTAGACAGGCTGAAAGATCAGGTATATCTAGGCAGGGGGGAACATGCCCATGACCAAGTACAGGGTTGGCAAATGATATTTCTACAAGCCTATCTGCATGTGCTGTAAGAATGTCTGGGTGTATAGTAGAGCTGACAAGGGGCAAGGTTGTGGTGGCTTCTTGGCCACAGCCAGCTACCTGGAGGGAGCAAGTACTTGGACCTGTGGGCTCGGGACCATGCTTGCAGGGGATACCAAGTTCAACTGGCATAACATACTACATAAAAACATTGTTCTACATGCTATTTTGGTGAGTAGCAACTGGGGTCTTAAAAGCTTGCATGCGGCCATCTAAAAGCAATGATGGGTCTCTCCTCGTCCAGAACAAAGAACAATAAAGAAAACCAAAGATGTGTGGAAACAATTAGTCCGAGGGACTAGCAGACCACACAATCCTCAGCCTATATGACCATGAGACCAAAACAACAAGATGGTATCCAGCTACCGTTGTCAGCCATTTAGAAAGGGATCAGTGCAGAAAATTCTGAACAGAGTAAGGGAACAATGTGGAACAAAACTCAAAATCATTAAAAAAAAAAAAAAAAAGACCAGGTTTACTGGAATGATAGAGCCTGATGAGAGCCCTGAGACTATGGCCCCTAGTTACCCTTCAGGTCTGGAAATGCACTCACTCCTGTGGCTTCCAGCCAAACAGCAGACAGATATACGGTGAACATTTACATCAGGTAGATACACTCCTCGTAGATACACTCCTCGGAGTGATCAATTGTGGGAGAAAAGAAGGGCAGTGTTTGCAAAGGGAAACAGCTTGTGTGGTGAGAGTGTGTGGGAGGGAAGGATACAGGGAAAAGGTAATTACAGAGAGGAAGTGGGAAGAGAGCTGTTAACACTGTGGAGAGTTGCAGTCAGTATCATGAAACAAAATGCATATAAACTACTGTATGGAAAATGAATTTGCTCTGTAACCTTTCACCCAAATCACAATAAAAATTTTAAAAAAAAGAAGTTGCCAATCTAAGTGTGGTGCAGTGAATTACCTGGTATGGCTTTTCTAGCCATAGTCTTTGTGACTCCCATCGTATTACTGGGTGGGACCAGGCAAGTAAGGTGAGCAGAACTCTAATGTTGGGATTGGTTAGTTTTGTCACTCTGCCAGGCTTAAAACGGGCCCTCCTACAGGCAAAGAGAGGATCTCACTGCCAACAAGAGAGAAGAGCTGGAGGTGAAGTGGAACACGTCCTTGGACCTGAGATCCCTGCCCTGGACCTCCTTGCCTGAGAGACGCCCCAGCAAAGAGACAGTGGCAGTGGAACCAAGAGGCACGAAACAGAGCGGCAGGCTTACGCGACCCAAAAAACAGAAGCCAAGATGGGAGGTCAAGGGCCAGAGATGTGTCTGCGGGCACAGCAGAAAGGAGACTGTCCTGATGGAAGAACTGTATCCTGAGTGCATTCCTGACCTGAATTATAGCCTGTTACTTCCCTAATAAGTACTGTCTGAGTTCGGTGTGGCCATTGCAATGAATTATCAAACCCAGCAGAGAAGTAGTGAGTGCCGGGGGAGGGACAGCTGGTGTCAGAGCTGGTTAAAGGCTGAAGGGTGGCAACACATCTGGCCTCACAGGAATAAGCCTTGGGTTGCTGACGGTGATTCTGTATTCCTCTTGTGAGGTTAGAGGTCAGAAGATGCCGCCTCCATGCCCTTCTTGCACTAACAAAGAAAGTCTAGTCTAGTGGCCTGGAGCTCAGGAGAGGAGTCCTGCTCGATGGACAGATGTGGAAATCAGGACGAAACAGACATGCTGATGCCATGACACCAAGAAGGCTCAGATCGGCTGTGGAGGGAAAAAATAGAGAGTTCCAAGGTCCCAGCATCTAGGATTCATGAGCAGAGTGACGATAGGTGAAGGAAAAAGGATCCCAGTAGGGGACCAGAGAGGGGCCCAAGAGGGACAGGGCAGGTAAAGAAGGAGTGGCAGCTATCAAATGCAACACGAGAAGTCAACCAAAGCCCAGACTGGGAACACTGTTTCATTTACTGTGACAATCAAGCAACCTCACTGAGACATCTTAATGAAATGGACTACAGGACTTCAGAGACAGAGGTGAGGATGAGGAAGGAGACTGCTGGATATCTACTCTTTAAGAGAACTGGCTGTGAACAGAGTCCCAGTCTGAAGGAAAGACAGGATGGAGGAATGAGTCTTTTGTTTTTAAAACAAGAAAACCTTCAGCATGTGTATTCATGAGGGGACAGTACAAACTGAGGGAGAGTCTGAAGAAAGGAGAGACAGTTGGGGATGCAAGGTCTCTGAGAGACAGGAGAGGGAAAGCCAGAGAAGAAAAGCCTTTCCCTATCAGAGTCAAGAGAGCTACAGATAAATGTGTAGGAGCTGAGGGGCAGGGGCTGAGGCCAATGCCACCTCGAGTCCTTGTTTCTCTCACAGGTATGAAGCAAGAGCCTTTGAGACAAAGGAAGATGAAAGACAGGGGTCCCAGCTAGGACTGACAAAGGGAGTGCTGTCCAGTGACACACAAAGGGAACCACAGGCTCTACAAGAGGGCCCACCTGGGCATTACAGGGTATGCTGCACGGGTTCCCAGCCAGCAGAATGAGTCACTTCAGTGTGTGACCAGGTGGGCCTCAGGGCCTGTGGCAGAGACTACGGTGTTTCATCAAACCCCGTTTCCCTCTCCCGAGCATGCAGCTAGAGGACATTTCCCAGTCTTCTCTGCCGCTGTCTGGAGCCCTGAAACTGAGGGCAGAGGTGATCCACACTCTGTAAGGGCCTGATGCCTTACACCCTCCCTCATGGTCCTATCTAAGTCCCAGAGACTCAGGATCCAATAGGGACTGCAAGGCTTGAGGGACAGGGGGAAGGAAAACAGGTCTACAAAGTCTTAAGCACAGCAGCCAGAAGTGGAGATAACCCAAAGGCCCCAAGTAGGAGGTGGGGATATTTGCACAAGGGAATACTATACACAACGAAAAGGAAGTGTCTACAGACACAAGTAACAACAGGCAACTCTGCACAGCACTGAGCAAAAGAAGCCAGACCTCAAAGAACAGGAACTGTACGCTCCTCCTTACATACATCTCATCACTCTGCAGTGACAGCCGTCGGTGACTGCGGGGCCCCAGGAGAGCTGCCTGAAGAGCTCCTGAGGCTCAAGTCTCCTGTTCTCACTGGTGCTCACAGAAACGCATGAAACTGTCAAATGCACCTCACCAAAGGATAACTGTCAAAGGAGCTTTTCACATCCTAATATTAAATTAAAGGATCAACAGGATGAGGAAGATAAGCACTTTCACACCCTGCTGATGGGAATGAACTTGGACCTTACCAAAGATGTTTCACACGCTCACAAGTATCAACCCTAATGAAGTGACTAAAGAGACAAAGATTTATATCTGTGCATACTTTCCCACTGTCTTACAAAGCAAGTAACAGGAAAAACCTAACACCGAACAATATACTTTTTAAAATTGTAACGATATTGTACAGCCGTTAAAAGTCATGTTTTCAAAGAATCCTTAAGGACCTGGCAAAATGCTCACAACATAATTACATTTAAGAAATTAAAATAGGCTTCCAAACGTGCTAGCAGCAAAACTGAGAAGACAAGACAAAAAGCACACGAGCAATTCGAATTCAACTTTCAGTTTCATCACTACTCACAAGGCTGAAGAGAAACGTATGTATGTAAGCTCTCCCACGTTCCACATCCAGAGCACACCACCACCTAACGCCTGGGCAGCCCTGCAGGCATGTCCTCATCTAGGGCAAGAAACCTGGAAGACAGCGACCTGGCCAACCGACTGGAAGAGGTCAACACTGGTGCGCATTCCACTGAAGGACAATTCAACAGAATGTGAGAATTATCAAACAATGATTAATATCACACAAGTAAAATTTTGCTGAAGATAAAACGGCTGCAACAGAATACTGACAGCGAACTTTTAGAATTCAAGCTGGATTCAGAAGAGGACATGGAACAAAGGATATCACTGCTGCTGTCAGATGGATCCTCTCACCATACTCTTTCGATCTGTATGCTGAGCAAACAGTCAAATCATAAACCAAGATTAATCAAATGTATAGTTCGAGAAACTGAACTATACGAAGAGAAACACAGCATCCGGATTGGAGGAAGACTCGTTAACAACGATATGCAGATGCCACAATCTTGCCTGATGAAAGTGAAGAGGACTTGAAGCACTTACTGAAGAAGATCAAACACTATCGTCTTCAGTATGAATTACACCTCAACATAAAGAAAAATAAAAATCCTCACAACTGGACCAACCAATGAGCAAGATCACAATAAATGGAGAAAAGATTGTAGTTGTCAGGTATTTCATTTTACTTGGATCCATAATCCAGCAGTCAAAACATCAGATGTCATACCGCACTGGAAAATCTACTGCAAAAGACCTCTCTAAAGTGTTAAGGAGCAAAGATGTACTTTAAGGACTAATGTGTGACTAAGCTAAACCTTGGTATTTTCAATCTCCTCATATGCATTTGAAAGCTGGACAATGGATAAGGAAGACCAAGGAAGAATTGATGCCTTTGAATAGTGGTGAATACTGAAAACACCACAGGCTGCCAGAAGAACTAACAAATCTGTTTGGCAGAAGTGCAGCCAGAAAGCTCCTTCAAAGCATGGCCAGACTTCATCTCACCTACTTTGGTCATGGCAGAAAGGACCAGTCCCCGGAGAAGGATATTATGCTGGTGAAGTAGCAGGTCAGCAAAAAAGCTAGACAAGGCCTAGCTAGGCAGGCAGCCCCTCTCAGTCATGTTTGGAGTTGGTTGGTCCTCAGGTCCACGGAGAGCACAGTGAATTATTTAATATGGCCCTTCTCCATTTTGGAATGTCTTGTAAATCCTAGCTTTTATGCCTGTTTAAAGGAGCTCTGGTGGTATAGCAGGTAAGGCATTTAGCTGCTAACCAGACGGTTGGCAGTTCAAACCCACCAGCTGCTCCACAGTAGGAACATGAGGCAATCTACTCTCGTAAAGATGTACAGTCTTGGAAACCCAGCGGTGGTCGCTATGAGTTGGAACTGACTTGATGACAGCACCCTTTGGGTTTATGCCTGTCTAGGGTGGGATATATCTTGAGTCCAGCTTTACTGGGGGGTGGGATTCAAGGCACAACCCTTGGTTTGTTTGAGGGGTATATATATATGACCATTCAGGCCAAGTTCCCTCTATCCTGTTCCAGCCCTACACTTGGTCCGTCATCATCTCACCCCTGGACTTGAGACAGCAGCCAGTCATCTTACCCGCCGATTTGGGCTCGCCAACCCCTGCAACCACAAGAGTGAGGAGAGTCCTCCAGACCTACCCACACATTTGGAATCTGCCAGCCTCCCAACCTCCACCACGTGAGCCATTCCCCTGCCTGTTTGGGAGTTCTGTGAGATGATACAGCCAAATTCAGATCCCTAAGACAGGAGGGAGAATACTGAGGGGAGGAGGAGTTGATGTCAGAGATGACAGTGTGGCACAGAAGTTTTCAAAAAGTTGGACATTTGGGACATCTTTAACCTCTGCCTCACTGGGACCAGCCTTGTGCTGATCCTTCTAAAAGGAATTATTTGAGAAGTACCCTCAATAAGATGGACTGAGACAGTGGCTACAATGACGGGTTCAAGCATGTTGTTGTTGTTATGGGCCACTGAGTCAGACCCAACTCACAGCAACCCCTCTTTCAGTTTCCAAGGCAGTATCACTACGGAAGTAGAGTCCCCAACCTTCCTTCCAAGGAGTGGCTGGTGAGTTTGAACCACCAGCCTTCTGGTTACCAGTCAAGTGCCTTAGGCACTATGCTACCAGAGCTCCTGGGTTTAAGCATAGCAAGCGTTAGGAGGATGGTGCAGGACTGGGCAGTGCTTCATTCTGCTGCACACAGCGTCACTGTGAGTCAGAACCAACTTGATGGAACCTGCACTTCATTTCATCTCCTTTAACCACTTCCTAGGCCAGCCCCACTCCTCCGAAGTAAAGTTGGGCAATCTACTTCTGTAGTGATACTGCCTTGGAAACCCAAAGAGAGGTCACTATGAGTCAGGTGTGACTCAAGGACACCTAACAACAACAACAGGTCAGCCTCAAGTGCCAGAAGGGCAGTTGAAATTGACACTTTATCTTCACCGCCTCCATAAAGCACAGCCAAGCTGAAGGTGGCACCTGTCACCTGTCCCATGTTCAACAAGGGCAACACGCCCACCGTGCAGTGGCCACCGGAGAATGGCCAGGTGGTACCTGTTTCACATTCAAATTCAGTCACCAACTCCGAGTGACTCTGGGTCGGTGAGGAGCTCCACGCAGGCACTGTGCTGCATCCTGAACCCGCTAACAGGAGACCCCGGCAAGCGCCCTCTGCCGCCGCACAGCGGCTGGGTGTTTTACAAGCACCCTCGCTCAGTCTTCACACACCCCCACGAGGTGGCCGTGACTCTAGCCCACTGCACGGCTTCGCTTAGGAGGCTGGCCTGGGGCCCCACGGCCTGGCTAGATTGGGTGCTGGAATCTGGAGCCCCGGCACCGAGCCTTAGAGCTTGCTCCTAAGGACGCACGATGCAGCTCTCAAAGAAACAGTGCCCGCAGGGCCGTGCGACCCGAGGCGGCCCTGGAGCCCCTGCACACATGTGCAGGTCGCCGCCGGCCCTTCGGTCCGCCCACAACGCTGCCTGGGCCCCTTCGCCGTCTTCCCACCGGCTAGAAGCATGGCGGTGGACTCGGATGCGAGGGAACCCCTGTCCACGGACCTGAGCACCAGCCAACTCCAAACATGACTGAGAGGGGCTGCCTGCCCAGCTGGGCCTTGTATGGCCGCTTGTCCTGCTAACGGGCACTCTCACCCAGCGACGCTCACGGACAGGGACACACTACGGCGCCCTTCGTCCGGTCACCGTCCGAGCCGAGGCCGGGCCCGCGCCCGGGGTCCCCACTCGCGCTGTGCCCTTCGCCCCGCCCGGGACCCGCCGCGGCCGCTGAGTCACCGTGTCTGGGACCCCGGAACGAGCAGGCCCGACGCCGGACGGTCGGGAGCCCAGCCGCCGTCGGGCCAGGCCGCGCCCCCGGGCTGAGCTTCCGTACCCGGGCGGGGGGCGGCCTCTGCACCGCTGGCCCCTCCCGGCGGAGCAGCTCAGGCTCGGGCCTGTCCGGCTCTGGACCCCAGGACGGCGCCCACGGGGCGCCCGCGGGCCGGGCGGTCCCCGGAGGCCTCAGTGGGCCGGCAGGAGGAAGCTTGTCGAGCCGCCTCTGTGGCCAGGCCTCGCGAACGACCGCCGCCCCGGCTCCTGACTTCCGCCGCTCGCCGTCCCGCTTACTTGGCTTTGAGGCGCAGAAGCTCCTCAAACTGCCGGGCTGAGTCGACCTGCACCAGAGCCGCCGCCGCCTCTGCCTCCCCCGTCGCCATGCTGCTGCCGCCGCCGCCGCCGCCAGACGAG